AGTAGTAGTAGTAGCAGAAGTAGTAGCAGAAGTAGTAGTAGTAGTAGTAGTAGTAGTAGTAGTAGTAGTAGTAGTAGTAGTAGTAGTAGTAGTAGTAGTAGTAGGTAGTAGTAGTAGCAGTAGTAGTAGTAGTAGTAGTAGTAGTAGTACTAGTAGTAGTAGTAGTAGTAGTAGTAGTAGTAGTAGTAGTAGTAGTAGTAGTAGTAGTAGTAGTAGTAGTAGTAGTAGTAGTAGTAGTAGTAGTAGTAGTAGTAGTAGTAGTAGTAGTAGTAGTAGTAGTAGTAGTAGTAGTAGTAGTAGTAGTCGTAGTCTTCGGCTTCATTATCTTCACCTCCTCCTCCTCTTCCCCACACTCCTCCTGCTCCTCCTCCGCCGCCAACTCCAACTTCAACTCCACCTCCTCCTCCGCCTCCTCCGCACCCTCGTTTAGCATGAGTCAAGCGTCAATCGCCTTCTTCTTCTTCTTCTTCTTCCTCCTCCTCCTCCTCCTCTTCCTCCTCCTCCCACCCACAGCCCCCTCGCGTCGAGCAAACATCGGGATGGAGGGCGTAGGGCAAATGTCGGCCTATGGGGGGGACCCTCGCCGCGCCCCGAGACCTCTGCGGGTGGGGGGCCGGGTTCTCAGAGACAAAGTGGTGACGTGGGGGGGCCCTGACCTCCTCCGATGTGATCGTTTCGCTCCGCGGCCCCAGGGCTTCTGACCCCTTCCCTGTGTTCGGTCCGTCCCCGATCCATGTGGGGCCCGAGAGCGGGCCCCGGGGTGTGTCGAAAAAGACATATCGTCGGAGACCCGGGGGCCTGGGTCCCGCGCGCCTTGCTCTCCACGCCCTCCTCCCTTCCCCTCGCGACCAGCCCCCCCCCTCGTTCCTCTCTAGAGGCCCCCCGCCCCCCTGAGCTCGTCCCCTCCCCCCTGTCCTCTCGTGCCACCTATCCTCCCCCCTCCTGGTTCCTGGTTACTGCTGGCATGAGATCCTGGTGGGGGCTGCCTTCGCCCCCCCCCCCCCCCCCACACCACACACCCCCTCCTCCTCCTCCTCCTCCTCCTCCTCCTCGTCGTCCTCCTCCTCGTCCTCCTCCTCTTCCTCCTCCTCGTTCCCTTCCTCCCTCCCTCCAGTGCCATCCCCTTATCCTCCCCATCCCTGGTCTGCTCCTCCTCCTCCTCCTTCGCGCTTTGTCCTGCCCCGCCGTCTCCCCCCGACAACTCCCAAATCAGTGAGCGGCCCAAGTCAACTATGTAGAGGTGCGCAACTGAAGGACATACTTCTGCACCACCAACGCTTCAGAGAACGGCCCAAACTGGATGTACAGCCATCGTGTTTCTATCAGGAACGCTGACTCAGGAATGAACGTATTCTTCTGGACACGACGTGCTGCGGCCGCGAATTGGTCCCCATCTCAGATTTGACGGATGGCCGAAAACCAGGGCCCCTCCTGAGCCCGAAGTGGCCCTTGTTCCAACGTCTTGACTGCAGAGCGCATTGAACTCGCAGCGTTGAGTAGAAGCTGATGGACACCAAGTGTCTCTCTCACCCGACACAAGGTTACATCGTGGAGTGCGTTGCTACGTCTGCACGTCTCCTCCTTCTACTCCTGTCTGCAGCTCCTCCCATCGTTATGGGATGTGCATGCAGTCTATGCGGCGCAACATCTGGGAAGCAATGCATGCTGCAACATGTGCATGATGCAACCTGTGTGGCACAGCACGCAGTGCAATATATGTGGTGCAACCTACGTGGTGAAATATGTGTGGCGTGTTATGGATAGTTCAGACTGTGGTGTTATTGAATGGGTGCAAAAGCTGCAATGTATGTGGCGCAGGCAACCTCATACGTGGTGCAGCATGTGCCGTGCAGGCGTGGCGGTGCAAGCCTGGTGCTGCGCATTTGGTGCTGCCTGTGAGGTGCACAACACATCACGCAGAATGCAATCCGATGAAGTGGCACAAGCGCCAGCCGGCGCACGAGCCGGCCACGAGGCGGCCACGGGTGGGCACCGGGCGACGAGTCCGGAGCCGCCGGCCGGCGCACGAGCGGGGCCATGATCGGCGACCTCGGGCTGACGCCGGGCGGGAAATCCAGAAGCCGCCAGGCCAAGACCACGCGAACGGAGATGTTGGGAATCTGGTCTCTACGACGCCGAACTCGCGCAGAACAGATTGTAGGACAACGAACAGCGCGTTCCTACAGCTAGGTTGACCAGTGGTCAACCTGGGGGTGGTCCGTGGTCCACGGACCACCCCCAGCTGCAATACCGAAACCGACATCGCCGTTGCCCACATTGCCGTCCGCGTGTCCACGGACAGAAGCATGGGCACCTCACGGCAGCCACAGCTTGCGGGCAAAGACGCCCGCCTGCTAGGGGTGAAAAGGCATGTGAGACGATTGGCTGTCTCGCCGAGGATCTCGCTGCAGCCCCTCGGCCAACGAAGACGGCTGCAGGGAGGGGCCCAAAGGTACCTCCACCTTCATGCACCAGTCAACCAATACACCAGAAAACCAACTCCTCATATTCCCCCTCCCCTGGGGTCCAGCATCCTAGTCTAGGGGGCCTGGGGGGGTGTACGAGCTCGCCAGCGTACCTCCAGGGTCCTCCGAGCCTGCAAGTCCACCCCCTCACGCCTCCAGGTTGGCCAGTAAGGCCCCAGAAAGCTCACAGAGCGGTCCGAGAAACCCACCCCAAGATCGCACCCAGACGCCCAAGCGGGCCTGAAGACGGCCCCAGAAGAGGCGCCCAAGGTGCCTCAAAAAAGCTCCAAGAGCACCTCCAAGAGGCCTTCGAGAGGCGGAACTCAACAATCCCTCATCGGTTCTTGAAAGATTTCAACATTCTCGTCCTCTCGAGCTCTCGGCAACTTACAACGGCACAGGAGGCCCCCAAGATCGGCCCCAAGAGGGCCCAAGAACGCCCCAAGAGCGCCACAAGACGGCCCAAGCGAGCCACCAAGCGGCCCAACAGACCCCCAAGACGGCCCGAGAGACCCGCCAAAAGGGCCAAGAAGACCCCAGACGGTCTCTAGAGGGGCTCAAAAGGCGGAAGGGGAAGGGGCCCAGAGGCCAAAGATAACCACTAGAGACCGCCAACGAGCTCCCCAGAAGGCCCCAAGAGCCCCGCAAGAGGCCCCAATACGCTCCCAAGAGGCCCCCAAGAAGCCCCAGAAATCCCCGAAAAGGCACACGAGACCTCCTCGGAGCCCCAAGACGCTCGCAGGAGATGTCCAGAAGCGTGTGAGATGATAGGCTGTCCAACTCCCCCTTTCCCGCTCCTCTGAGGTCCAATATCCTGTCAGAGAAGGGGAGACCCCGAGAGGACTTGCAAGGATATCCAAGCCAAAACGGCTGCAACCAAGCTCGTCATGTAAGACATTCTAGCCCCTTCCTAGCCCTAGCAAGTTCCATGAGCTCCTCACTGCGTCTGGGGGTCGGCGTATTGGCATAAGCCTCTTGGATAATGGCACCCTTGCGGCAGAAGACCCTGAACAGCTCTACACCATCACCACACACTGGGCGGCCACGATGGGGGGGGCAACGATGGGCCACCGGCATCGGGGACCCCGTACCCCTCACCGGGCGTCAGAGTCGTGGAGAGCCCTTGCCGGCTGCTCAGGGAAACATCCGTGACTGGAGGTCTGCGCGGACTCCTTGGATCGGCGCTGCCCCCCCCTCCCCACACCCTTCCTCGACAGCGCGGAGCATGCATGGGATTGCGCGTCCAGTGTGGCACTAACATGGGCGTGTTGCTCGGGAGTTGGCGACCCCTATCCCCGATTTAAGTGGGACGGTCGATGGGCCAAGACTTTGAGGCAGTACGGTGGGGGGGCGTCCCTGCCCGATAGGGCTGCGTCCAGATAGCCCCCTGCAGGTGGTGTATCCAGGAATCCCGGATCCCCGAGTTCCTCTTCCCTTGTCGGAGCAGGCAGCCTTTCTGGAGAGGAACTCAGGCATTTCAAACTCAGGCATCCGACGATGAGATTTGTCAGATCCTCGGCCCCAATGGTCCCGGCCCCGTCCCTCGGGCCAGTTTTTCGCAGCGGCCCCGGAGCCCCACATCGAAGAAAAAACGCCAGGATTCAAAACATCACCCCAGCAAAGCACCCACATAACAGTCAAAGGTTCAGCCGGATCGTGGGTGCAAGCACGGCCATGTGCACCTTCGCGTATGATTTACGAGGGATCGTGGCCGTCGGGACTACAAGTGTGGCCGGCACTGAGGCAAGAGCACGCTTCCTTGATACAGCAGCAGGAGTTCTAAGGGGAAACGGCTGCTGGCCTGGGCGGTCTAGCACTTCACGTCCCGCCTGTGGGATTGGATTCTCCCGGGGCTAAGAAAAACATCACCGGAGATCTGGGTTACGGTCGGGTGTTGTCGCTTAGCGTGTCGCGGCGGCGGCCCTGGCGACACGCTACGCCTTGCAAGCTGATGGCGTGTCGCTCCGCTCCGCGGGGCGGGAATCCAAAAAAAGCGTGAGACGCTGAATAGCGTGTCGCGCCGAGGCGAGGTGGGCCAGAACCGGCGGCGCGACACATTAAGCCAAAGTTCCTGACCGTATTATGATGTCTTCATTTGTTCACAGCGGGGTCCCCGAAGTCTCGACCCATTTCCCGGGACCAGCTTTTCATCCTGAGTGTCTTTCACGGTCTTAGGGGCCCAGTAAGGGCCCCTGGAGGCCGAAAAGGGCGATATGCCTGCGTTCTGGTTTTCTGAATTCGTTGGATCTCTGGGTAAATCGTTCGCAGGTGCCCTCTTGGGGAACCAAAGTACATTCCGATGCCATCACTCCCTGAACCTCTCCCCAGGTGCGGAGGTGTTTGTCGGCCTCCGCCTCGGCGTTCACCGCGCCGTCGTCGTCGTCGCCGGAGGAGGAGGGGGAGGAGGAGGAGGAGGAGGAGGAGGAGGAGGAGGAGGAGGAGGAGGAGGAGGACTGCAGCCAGCCTCCAAAACTGGGAGAGCGAGGGAAGCGCCGCGGCATCGGCACCATACTCCTCCTCGGAGCGGGCGGGGCCCCGTCCGGGGCGGACGCCGCCTCGCCCGTGCCCGAGAGACCGAGGCACCTCCGTCTTGGTGTCTGTCAGTGTGTTGGATCTCTGGGTCATCCCGAAGCGAACCCAGCGGTGGCGCCGAGGGCCTTCAGGCAGCCCCAGAACTGGGAGAGCGAGGGATTCTCCGCGGCATCGGCACCGACTCCTCCTCACTGAGCGGGCGGGGCCCGTCCGGGGCGGGCGCCGCCCTCGTCCGTGCCCGAGAGACCGAGACACCTCCGTCTTGGTGCTTGTCAGTGCGTTGGATCTCAGTGTACGGTCTGAGGCAATCTCGCCTCCCTCCCTACCCTCCCCCTTCTTGGGCTTGCAGCACTCCTTGTGCACTTGCAGTGCATGTTTCCCGTTCGGTTGCCAACGTCGCAACCTGAGTTTGCCAACGCGTCCCAACGGATGCACGGCCGAGCGAGCGAGCGAGCGAGTGTCCTCCGTGCTCACCGGAGGGTGCCGATACCGCATCGCATCTCCCTGGACCTCTCCCGGGGCGCACTCTGACAAGAACTCTGGGGCGAACCCCGCGGTGGCGACGAGGGGCACCCAAGAAGCTCGGGAGCCTGGGCCCGAAGGGGTTCCCTTGCCGCGAAGCTGGGGGGGCTTCCCTGCCAGGATCTCCCTCTGATGCTGGGGCAGAGCATGGATTGGCCTACGTAGGAGGAGGGTGAAATCTTTCGGACAAGAGTCGATATAACGCCTGACTGCGCCAGCCGGTTCTAGAGAAGCGCACGTGCCATGGCCTGGTGGTCCGCGCGTGCGGACTGTGCGGTGCCCAACGTCTGCGGCTGATCTCATCACGTTTACCTTGCGTCTGGGAGTTGCTCAGGGAATGTGGGGCATGTGCATGAAGGGAAAGACTGCGCAGGGCGAAATGAGAAAAAAGAGAGAGAGAGAGAGAGAGAGACGCACGGTCGGCATCCAAACTGATGTCCGAGTCGCACTTTTTGGGCACCGAACCCATTCTTTGCGCAAGCGGCCGTCCCCCGTGCATCCCAACTGTTGCTCGTGGGTTGTGTCGGGCTCAGGGGATCACGTCCCCGCGCAGCTGATGCGCTTGGACCTCACCAAACGGTGCTTACTCTTCGATGTTCCACCCTCCCGCCCAACTGCGGGACCCGCACAACAATGTGCATGTTCTTCATGTACTCCAGATTTCGTAATAAAAGGGAGGGGGTCTCATTTCGGGGGGGGGTCTCTTCCAGGCTATCTTGGAGGGCCTGGGGGGGTCTGGGGACGATGTTTTGGAGGGTTCTCCCACGGGGGGGGTCTAAAACTTCTCGTCTGGGAGGGTTGAGACCCCCTCCCTTTTATTACGAAATCTGGAGTACCCGCCCTCCTGCCCAACTGCGTCTGGGCCACGGACTCGCTCGGTTCCCCACATCCCGGGGCACGTCGCCAGCACGGAGTGAGCGGGTTCCCTTGCCGTGAAGCTGGGAGTCTTCCCTGCAGGAGGGCTGGACAGAGATCTCCCCCTGATGCTGGGGCACAGCATCTAGGCATGGACGGGGGGGAGAACGAGGGAAGGGTCGCAACAGCGGCACAGGTGCCTTCCCAGACATGCGGTGCCCTCCTTTTCTCCATACGGGCCCCCCGAAGTCCCGACCCTTTCCACAGGGCTGTTTTTTTTCGGGCGCATCCCACGCAGCATGCAACACCCAACTGATATCCCACTCGATGGGATAAATGACGTGATGCATCCAACAATGCAGGGAGAGCTAACGTCCCCAGGAGGCACCCTTCCAGACCTTTTGTCACCCGACGGTTGGGGGCGACGAGTCGTTCTTGACGGTCCCGTCGCGACACATTTTCCATCGCGAGTCGTTCTTGACGGTCCCGGGGCCCTGCGAGGGCCGAAATCTACCAGAACATCCCGCCTCGGTTTCTCCTCCTCTGAGCGGGCGTCCTCGTCCGAGGCGGACGCGGCCTCGTCCGTGCTCGCGTCGAGCGGCACCGTCGCCGCCCGGGGCACCTGTCGGCGACTCAAAGAGGGGGTCCTCGGGACGAGGTGCCTCAAAACGACCTACATTCGGGGCGTTGACCTAAGGAACCCTAAATAAGGAACAAGGCCCCTCTTTTCCATGAGTTAAACTTCGATTTCCGATCGAAAACATAAGGAAAACCTGAGGCAAGCTGCGAAACACTTAAGGAACGCGGAGCCCCTTCCAAACGCAAAGGGTTCCTTCTTCAGGGCCCCGACTGTAAGCTCAATCTTGGATCCCCTCCCATCTTTTAGGACGCCCGAAATGGGTACAGAAAAACAGGTACAGTGCCCAATAACGAACGCTGTACCAAACCGACGGCGGCCGCTGTTGGGCACGCGGCCGTCTGTCTCACGTGTACACCGTCCGCGGCGACACCGACAGCGAGTCCTCTTCAAAATGAACAGGAACTGCTGTCGGGCTTTGTACCAACTCTTCCCGTACCTATGTCGAACGCCCCAGTCCTTAGGGCACATCCCCCAGGAAACCCATCCCTCAGGACCCCATCCCGCTGGACCCCCTTTCCCTGGCGCGCGGAGCGCGCCAGAGGCACCGCTAAAGGCGCCGCCAGGGGGCTCCAACGCCGATCCGAGAAATCCGCGCGGAGCTCCAAACATTGATGCTTATGTCATTATGTAGTTCGCTCGTCTTCGATACTCTTAGAACCCAATCCGTCGGGACACATCCCTCAAAGTCCGTCCTCGAACGCCAGACGTCATGATTTTCTCATGCCGTGGACCCCTGGAGGTTTCGACCCACTCCCCAATACCGGCTTGTCGTCCTGAGTAGCTGTTTGACGGTCCTGGGGCCCGGCAAGGGCCCCCAGAGGCCGAATCCTGCCAAAAACATCCCATCGTGATATCTTCACGACCCGAGGGGGTCTAGGTCTTATCGGGGTGACGTAAGACTCGGGTATGGGGGACAAGGGTTGGCCTGACGGGACCATCGGGAAAATGACGAGACCCGATTGGAAATTTGACGGGAGCTCCCGCTGCAGACATCCCACGAAAACTGGACCGTCAAAATCCAGGACGCGCTCGTCAACAAGGGTGGGCGAACCCGAGCTTTAGCGCACTCGAGTCTTACGTGTCCCCGATCTTAGGGCACCATTAAAACAAGGCTAGGATCGGGATAAATCGCTCCAGGGCGTTCCGGAGCGCTCTCAGAGCGTTCCGGAACGCTCTGGAGCGGCCGCGGCGCCCAATACATCCTCCAAGCCCGCCGATTCTCAGAGATTTCGAGTTATCCCGATCCGGTTTTGTCCCGATCTTCGCGTCGTTTGAACCATCCTTCAGGATCCCAGCTTTCAACCGCCAAGCCTGCGCTGGCCTGCGCCGGTCGGCGCCCGCCGGCAGCGGGCTCCCGGAGGCGGCGGAAGCCTGCCGAGCGGTGGCGGCGGCGGCGGCGGCGCCGGCGGCGCCAGCCGCCTCGGAGGGTCTTCTCCTCTCCTCCTCCTCCTCCTCCTCCTCCTCCCTCCTCCTCCTCCTCCTCCTCCTCCTCCTCCTCCTCCTCCTCCTCCTCCTCCTCTCCTCCTCCTCCTCCTCCTCCTCCTCCTCCTCCTCCTCCTCCTCCTCCTCCTCCTCCTCCTCCTCCTCCTCCTCCTCCTCCTCCTCCTCCTCCCTCCTCCTCCTCCTCCTCCTCCTCCTCCTCCTCCTCTTCATCCTCCTCCTGTTTAGCACGCGCAGCCGCCGCCAAGACAGCACGGCTCTCTTGTGCGCACCTTCGAGGCTCACGGTCTCACCCTCACAGTTTTGGACGTTCCTGGAGTGTCTCGTATAGCTGCGGCCGGACGGCCAGGCTCGCGTGCACCCCGCTACTGCGCCTCGGGGTCAGTGCCCCCCCCCCCTGTCCCACCCGCCCCGTGTCTGACTTGTTCTGCCTGCGCCGCCCTGCCCTGGTCACTGGCTAGGCCGCCGGTGAGGACCCCAAGGCGCCCCAAGACGAGAGAGCGCTCCAAGCGACCCAAGGGAACCCCAAGTGCCCCAGAGGAACCCAGGGAAGGACGGACAAAGAGGAGGAAGACGGGAGGTGAGGGGAGGGGAGGGGAGGGGAGGGGAGGGGAGGGGAGGGGGAGGGGGGGAGGGGAGGGGAGGACGAGAAGAGAACCCCGCGACACAGCGCCTCCTGCGCGCCCGCCCCCCCCGACACCGGACGGACGCCACCCAGTGTGCTGGGCTCGTGGCGGGACTCGCCGCATGTGCCCTGAAGTCCGTTGCCGCGACAAACAAAAAAAACAAATCGCGAAAAACCTCACAGGCGCGCCGCAGACCCCGCGGCATCCCTCGAGCCGGATGGGAGGGCCCCATGGGCCCCGAAGCTGGGCGAAAACGCCGGGCTTGAACAGGCTGCAGCGCCCGGACCTCGGGGCAGCCAGACCAGTCAGAAGAGACGAGGCTCGGAGCGGCGGCGGCGGCGGCGGCGGCGGCGGCGGCGGCGGAGGAGGAGGAGGAGGAGGAGGAGGAGGAGCGTGCCCCCAGCACCCGCCCCCCCCCCAGGGAAGCAGCGGCCTCGCCCGCGAAGGCACCCTCAGGAGGCGGCGGCAGCTGCCTCCGCGGCAGCGCCGAGGCCGAGGGCGCCCCGCGCCGCGCGCTGTCTGGCGACGGCAGCCGCCGCTGCCAGCCTTGCCACGAGCAGGGGAGCCACAATCACCATTGGGCGTGGCTTAATGCGGGGGTCAAATGGGGGGGTCAGAACAGGTCCCCTTTCGTGCCCCTTTCGGGCCCCTCCAGAGCCCCATGGGGGCTCGTTTAGGTACCGTTTGGGTACCTTTTCGGACCACACTCGCCACCCCCCCATTTATGACCCCCCCATTACGCGGCGCCAATCACCAGGGGTGCGGTGCGATGCCGTGCGAGGCGGCCCGCAACGGCCCGCCCCGGAGGGCCGGCCTCTGCGAGGGCAGGCGCGCGGAACACGCGGTCCCGCACGCCTGCCCCTCGTAGGGGAGGCGGGGGCGCAGTGGGCGGGGGGGAGCGAGGGGATCAGGGGCAACGGTGGGAGAGGGGATGCCGTGGTGGCCCGACCACAAGAGGCCTCCCCGAGGAGACCCGACCCTGAGACCCCAGGACGTCCACTGCTTCTTGGTGTGGGAGCGTCACGCTCCCCCCCTTCGCAGGACCATCGAAACCCAGAGGAGCCCGGGGCACCCTGGAGGCAGGCAGGGTTTTTTTCTTGGCATGGGCTCCCACTGCAGGCTCGGACTCGAGGGGCTTGAGGCTCGAGGCTGCCGTCGGGCGTGCTCGTGTCGGCTCTCGTCGGCTCTTCCAGCCTCGGCGTGTTCTCCTCTCCAGCAGCTGCGCCCGCCTCCCCGAGAGCGTCCCCCCGGGGAGGGGGGCCCGGGATCGTCCCGAGCGGCTGCCACAAGAGGCCCAAAGCATGGCACGACAGCCCACAAAGGGGGGACGATCCCTGGGGGGGGGAGGGCGGTCCTCTACGAGGGCAGGCGAACGGAACGCACAGTCTCGCACGCCTGCCCTGGTAGAGGAGGCGTAGGCGTAGGCGTATACGAAGGGGCACGATCCGGGGGGGGGGGGCGCAGACCCCCTATCGAGCCTTTACACAGAGCAGGACGGGCGGTGGGGGCTCCAGTCGGCCCGCAGAAGAGCAACGCAGGGTTGAAGGATGCAAGGGGCCTTGGGAGGCCATGCCGACGCTCTGCGAGCGGGATTCGCGGCCAAGCGTGGGCCGAAGGGGAAGAATGCAGAGGGTGACCTTGGAGAACTGCTCCTCCTTACTGTGCGGGTTGGCTGTATGTTCGGCCTCTGGGGGCCCTCACTGGGCCTCGGGACCGTGTGAAGGCACGACTCAGGATGGAAGGCCGGCCCCCACGAAGGGGGCCCAGAATTCGAGAGCCCCGAGGGCCCATATGCTACGACCAAAGCACGGCATCGGAGGTCTGGGGGCCTGGATCGTGAAGGGCAGCGTGGTGGGCCGGAGCTGGCGAGCCGGGACGCTGCTCAAGCCAAAGTGGGGAAGGTCAGGGTCGGGGGGGGGGTGGAAGCATTGGCCGGACACCGGCGATGCATCGCCTGACAGATCGACGAGTGGCCCCCGATGGCGAATCCGTGCGGTCCTGGGCGGGGCCTGCTAGCAGGCCCCTCCTCGGCGCTGAAGGAGCGGTTTGGGGGTCTATGCGTTCCCTCCCGAGGCTTTCCCCCCTGGCGCTGCCCCGCCTCCGTGCCACTGGGAGGCGGAGGAGGAGGAGGAGGAGGAGGAGGAGGAGGAGGAGGAGGAGGAGGAGGAGGAGGAGGAGGAGGAGGAGGAGGAGGAGGAGGAGGAGGGGAGGAGGAGGAGGAGGAGGAGGAGGAGGAGGAGGAGGAGGAGGGCGAGGATCGTCCCTGAAACACTGAATCCACAAGAAAGTGGCCGGTGGACCCGCCGCCGTGCTGCCTCCGCCAGCTTCCGCCGCCCCCTCGCCGAGGAAGGCACGTCAACTCCTTCGACCCCCGAGGAGCCAAGGCCCCAGGGCCTTGCTGGAGAGCGCCAACTGCTCTTGGCCAGGGAGGCTCTCCTCGCGAGGGGCGCCCCCGGCACCCCTGCCCCCGCCCCCTTCGCTCTTCATCTGCCCCCCGAGCCCTGCAGATCCAGGTGGGGCTGTGGCTGCGCGCTGCCTGGCGACGGCAGCGGCCGCTGCTCCTCGGCGGCGAACAGGAACAGGGATACACAGGGCTCACGATCATAAGGTTCATTACGTATTCAAGTGATCATTGCTCATTCTTGTGTTTCTCTGCGCACATGCCGCACACTCCGTGCACACCCACCTGTGTGCCCCACCTGTGCGCAGGAGTGGCACTAAGGGCGCGAGCCCTGTGTACGGCGAGAGGCGCGGTCTTCTGATGCGGCTCGGGGCTTCTCAGAAGGGTCCCGAGCCCTTCGGGAAGGTCTTCCCAGAAGGCCACAGAGGGAATCTTCAGGAGGCCCTCCTGCCCTCTTATCGAAGACCCCACCCAGACCCCTCGTGGCGGCCCCGTTTGCGCGCCGCTGAGCTCCCCTTGCAGATCCAGCGAGGGATCCCGCTGCGCGCTGTCCGGCGACGGCGACTGCCGCTGCTCGCCGTGACGGGCCTTGCGCGGACTTGGGGCTGCGGAGGCCTCTGCGCCACCGGCCGCCGTCGCCAATCCCATGCAAATCCCTGTCACGCCCTTCCCCCTCCTTCTGAATGGTGTGATCGGCCTTGGAGGATGGATGAGGGAAGCTTGTGAACATGTTCGGGTCGGTTCACTGGGACCCCGGAAACCTCTGGAGGCCTCCAAGGTGCCCCGGGGGCAAGATCCGTGGCGGAAGCAAAACTTACCATCCCCTTGCCACGGATCGGAAACTGTTGGCTGGAAGATCGGGAGGACAGAATCACTGATGCCAGCGCGTGGGAGTCGTCCCCTGTCACCCTCCATGCCAGACCCCTCCCCTTGCGAAAGCCCTGCCTCCTCTTTCACCACCTCCACCTTCCTCTCCCCCTGGCTTTGCCTTTCTCTTCTTTCGGCCACATATATACCCG